CATGCTCTCTCGTCACAAGTGGCGAGAGAGCATGGAGCCGGCTTCCCGGCCAATCAGGAAGTCGGGCAGTGTGCAATGACACGCTGCCCGGCTTCCTGATTGGTGGGGAAGCCAGCTTCATGCTCCCGGCTTCCTGATACTGGATGTATCGGGCTAGGCATCGGAGCATTTGGACGAGTACTCGGCACCGATACCGATTGTAAGGTGTTATGGCCACCTTTATAATTCTGAGTGATTTATGTCTAATCATTTTCACAGTTAGACCTTGATAGTTGTGTCTTTAGCAATGCAATAACGCTGGATGAAAGTCAGCGTTCTTATTTTGCAACAATCCACTTATACAATGTATCCTGTCTAGTCAGTAGAGATGGTGATTCTCGTAACAGTTGCAGCAAATATCTAGTGTGGATTATTCTCCATATGCATTAGGCAATACGATTTTCACCACTTTTGTGTTTTATTCTCGCAACATGTATATAATCTTTTCAGTTTTTCTGGCTGTAAATCTGCTTTGTGTCTCCTTCTCCTTTAATAATTTAGTGTTGCATTGGTATACGCCTTCTGGTATAGCAACTTATTGTCACTCCACTCGTGACCTGTGTAAATTTTCTTAGAGAATGCACAATCCCTGGCTCCATTTAACACATATTTATTCCACCTTTTAGATGATTTTCTTACTTTGCTGTGTCCAGCATTCTCAACACTTTTACACGTCAAATAAGTTAATAAAAGAGCTCTTACCCGCTGGCCGGCATTTGATTTGTTTTACTCACGGAGTAACAAGTGGGGTGTTGTATGAATGTGTGTCCGAATGAAGACAAGGTTGTCGTTTTTAACTTAGAGGAACGGGTGGCGAGGTGAATGAATTATAAGGTTTTTGTAATTTAGCAATAAAGCATATATTTTTCATATAATATATTTTGGTCATTAAAGGAGAACTATTGCTCGCGGTATCCTGAGCTTAGGGTGACAGGAGGACGCTAGTTTGTGTCCTCCCGTTACCCTAAGGAGAACTAAAGGGAAAAACACTGACCCCATAGTTCTCCTTTAATGTGACTTCTGTCTGGTCTTTTCTCTATTAAGACCAATATCATGAGCTAGGGTGCTTATCAGCCGGCCGTGTTTCTTGTAACACTCTTTAAAAATAAAAAGGTATTACAGAACACTTTGGTGCATCACTGCAGCTGGAGTAATAGAATTGTATATACAGTTAAAGATGTAGTAAGTGTTCTATGGTCTCTTTGTGTCCCAGGATTTTGAGGGAAATCTACAACTTAAGAATAAAGTGATATGTTTCCTGGAGGAGGTCATCCACAATCCGGAGCTCCTGGCACAAGAGAGGAAAGCTGCAGCCAACATTATCCGGTGAGACATTCACATTTATTGTGAATATATACGTAGACGTAGATGCTTGTCATCCTATGTAAACATGTATAATAGATATAATGGTACTTAATGTTGCAGTCCTAATACTGTCTGTATTATATTATTCAGAGTGCTGGTTACTTCCTAATATGCACCTATGTAGACCATGAGAAAAATAAGGGAGCTGCCATTGCTGGCCTTCTGAAAGAAGATAGTTGTCTGGCTGTGTTTTGCTTCCATACTTCTGAGTCACAAACATGTAACGGGTCAATGACTTTGAAAGTATTAAAGCCAAAGCATCATCATTTCAGAGAGATATGGCGCATTTACAGCAGGAGATTTAAGCAAAGGCATCATAGATATTTCTTCAGAGGTTTACTCCTAGAAGACTCCCGTTCGGCCGTTCAGGAACGGCCATGGACGGGAGGTGGTTAAGGAGTGTTTAAGTGTTTGCGACAGATGGAGGGTGCTTCTCATTCAGTCATGCTCATGGCCATCACTGTAAATGCTGCCTGAGGGCATACATCTATACCAATGTATATATAATGAGGTTATACAGATATTTTGTAGCTGTTGTACAGAGGTATGTGTGTTTCTTCAGACATGGCAAAGAAGGGTTCTTTATATCAGTGCAGGAGACCACTCCACCTGTTCTCACTTGTTGGGGAGTAGAAAGTCAAGCAAGTCAGAAAGGACTTTGCTTCCTCATAACCAGCCCATGACAGCCAGTCTTTCTGACTTATCTTGATAGATCCTGGCAAGCTGTACCTTACAATGCACTTGCTACACATTTTCTATAGTAATCCGGCAACAACACAGCCTCCAGTTCTTGTAGAGCACCTTGGAAGCCATAAAACGGGGCATTCTACTGCAACTGGAATGTTATCTAGGAAGTCGGCACTTGGCAGCACCGCTTCTACCTTTCTGTTGGTCCAGTAAAGCGATAGGCAGCATCCCAGAGCATTAGAGAGGCTTGCTGGATGGAGGTGGGGGGCTGAGTTCTGACATCCTAGATTAAGCAGTTTTTTGCATAACAGAGTGCTGTGAGTTTACGGTCCCTGGGCTGGCCTAGAAGAAATGTGCATGTGCTCTTAATCGATGAGAGAAATTGTGGCTTGATTATACTTCTGTGTATCCTGTACATATTATCATCATACTTCTTATTTGGAAATACTTTGTATTCATTTTACAAGACAGAGTATACAGTACAGTAATGTTGCATACAATTATGTCTGTGCTGTATACATTTATGTAAATAAATATACTTATTAGTGACACTTTCTATCTTCAGCACATTGACACAGGAGGATCCTGGAGACAGCCAGGTAACTCTGGAAGAGATTGAGCATACGGTAAGTCATTTTGGTTCTTCCACTCTCTGAGTTGGATATTTACAAGCCATGGCGTGCCTTTCAAACAGAGACATGTATAAGGTCTAAGAAAAAAATGTGAATGCCCTGGCATGTCCAGTGTTGAGCAGTGCTTACATCCTTCGTCACTCCAGTGTTCAATAAAGAGTAAAAAATGCCTGGTCACAGAGAATATAGGCCTTGCAGGACAAAACTTTAGGGTGGAGATGGCAATTACTGCTAATGCAGGGCTTTTTAAAACATAGAGGAAAGCAGCAGGTAATAGATATTGCCCTATTGCTAGGGCAGCCCATGGCACTAAGAATGTTCACCTTTCTGCATTATAAATTTTGTAGCTATTTTAAAATGTATTGAATGGGTTTTTTATTTTAGTATAGAGACAAAAAAAAATATTATGCCTCTTTAAAAAGAAAAAGAGTGACCTCATCTTCAATCCATTAAGCTTTGGGCATCAGTTCACAAAAAGAATGTTGCCGAAGTTGAAACAGTACACAACAGGCATGGAAATGAATAAGGGGCTTGGAGGAACTCAACTTTCAGGAAAGATTAGCTTTTCTGAATGTATTCACCCTTAAGAAGAGACAGTTAAGGGGGATAACATACATTAATGGTCCACATAATAAATGTAGTGAAAATGTGATCACTGCAAAAGACACCATTGTTTTCTTTGCAGTTGGAAAAAAAAAGTTTAACCTTGACCTACAGAAAGGAGTCTTTACTATAAGAGCTGAGGAAATGGATCTATGTAACTGAGTAGATTATTGTTTACTGTTCACCTTCAGTAATGTGTGCTAAAGAGTAGTGATGCACTGAAATAAAACTTTTAGACCAAAACCAAAATAAAAAAAATTTGTTAGGCCAAAACCGAAAGTGACTTTTTTTCCAACCTTTTTACATTTAGTTAAATTTTTTAAAAACTATTATTTTTATTTTTTTTACTTTACTGTTAGGGGCTTTGGGGAAATATCAGGGTTCTAAACAGACCCCTAATATTTTCCTTTTAAAATAGAAAAAGAGATTGAGGACACAGAGTCCCTGTTATGAAAGAACAGGAAGCCTCTATATTGAGTGTAGTCGAGATAGTATCAGTTACTATGTCCACAATCATGAATGCACAGGAAGTGATGTAGAGTACTTCCTGTTCATTCATAACTGGGAACACAATAAGCATACTATGTCCTCAGTTATTTACAAGTTCTGATGACTGAGTGCTGGTAACCCAGTCTCCATCCTGACTCCCCCGTCTGTCACAGGAGGCCGAGCAGGGTGCTGCTGGGAGCTCAGCCTCCTGTGACAACTGACTGCTGTCTCCTGCTGCTGTCCCCGCTCGGCCTCCTGACAGTTTCTCTCCTCCCCCGCTGGGCGCCGATCTGTGTCCCCTCTGATCCCAGCTGCCTCTGCCAACACAGGCTGGGGAGAGCAGCGGGGATCAGAGGGCACACAGACCGGAGCCCATCAGGGAGGAGAGAAACTAGGGATGCATTGAATTTTCAACATTTTGTTATATCGTCATTTTGCTCATAGTACCATTTTCGGCCTAAATGTTTTAGCGGCTGAAAATTTCGGTGCATCCCTACTAAGGAGTATATATAGTTTAGCAGACGTGTACTAAATATAATGAATGAGTAGAAGATGATTTGCTGGCTTCCAGGAAAGCCAAAATGAATTGAGTTAGTTTTTAAACTGCTATTATAAATCTATTGTGTTGGGATTGCTGTTAAGATTTATCATTTAGATTTAGTTTTTATCTACCACTGCTTATTTATTACATTTTCTAATAATAGATTTGGACACTTGTGGTATAGACTGTAATATCTGCTTATGTTTGTACCTTTTGCAGGTTTTGGGGACTCCTGTGGATCCGTTTGAATCTCTCTCTGCCCTGGAGACTGCAGAACAGCTTACATTACTGGACCATCTGATCTTCAAGAAGATTCCCTATGAGTAAGTCTCACCATGCCAAATGTGACCTGTGAATAAATGTGGGCCGTGCTAAATACATTTTAAAAAAAAACCCGCTTCACATGTGGAGTGGGAATCAGAAATAAATGTACACTGGATTGCATCTATGAGCAAGCCAGTCCACCAATTATTTGCACAATGGGAAGTTTTATTTTGAAGGTGCTTTTTCAGCCACAAGTGTTTTTGTATCTTTTTTGGTAATAATATAATTTGTAGCCAGTCAGTCATGTAGCTTTTTTTTTTTTTCTTTAGCTGTTACAAATATGGCTTCTTCCGACCCACATAACATTCTTCTATCACAGAACTCACTTAGCTACTTCTTTCACATGTTAGAGCCCTTTCACACAGGCTTTCCAAACAGGGGAGACTGTCAGTTTTTTGAGGGACCTGATCTTAAGCCCAATGTTAGTCTATGGGCAGCCGGATCTAAACAGACAGGTGTCCGTTTACATCCTGTTACACCAGCTCTGGCCAGGTCCGGAAAAACAGGTGGATCAGAGTTCCATTTTTGCTGGACCCTATCGTGCTGAATTGGGGGTAATCTAAAGTAAAGGGACACAAGTCCATTTAAATCTAAATCCCCATAAACCAACATACAGTAAGTCCGGTAATTTTTATTTTTTTCCTCCATCAGAAGAAAAAACTAGACGTGCATAGATGCCCTCCTGATTGGACCATGTGAAAGGGGCATTAACCTTTCTGTCTACTTTACAACTTTGAATTACAACCACACTAAAATGGGGTCTTAAATGTTTTTCTGATAACTGGTGATAAGCTTTTGTGGCATAGTTCATTTTTTTCTTTAAAGGAGAACTATGAGGTAAGTGTTTTTCCCCATAGTTCTCTTTAGGGTCACAGGAGGACATATACTAACGTCCTCCCTTGACCCAAAGCTCAGTATATCGTGGACTATTGCCCGTAATATACTGACAGCTCTGCAGCCGGAACAATACTCTTGAGATCCACCCAACTGCGTGGGAAGCAGAGCCAGCTGTGCCCACCCCCTCCCCCGTTTGTTCCTCCACTCAGCGCTGGAGGATGGGAGAAGGGAGGGGGGAATCCCTGCGGTGAGCGGTGACTCACAGTCACTGCTCACTGCAGAGAGACGATCGGGAAGTGAGCGGATCGACAGCATGTTTCTGCTCACTTCCCGATCAATAGAGCCGACCTGTGACATCTTCTTTGTCACCGGTCGGCTCTAACTATGAGGATGAGTGAAAAACACTCACCTCATAGATCTCCTTTAATGGTAAGCTACAATGATTAGACTGAATTTCAGTTTATGTATTTAAAGTATATGTATAGTCAAAGTTTTTTTTTGGTAGTTTTGGATAGAGTGTGGTTAAATTAGAACCCATTTGAAGTTTATAATTGGTCTGATTCCCTGCAATTACCATTTCTATTTGTCCTGTTACTGCAACAAAGAATGAGTGTAAATCCTGCAATGGGACACATGTTTTGATGAAAGCTGTTGAAGAAGGGAATTCCCTTCACTTTTGAAAGTTTTCTTCTCTCTTCCTGTTGCGTCTCCAAGACTGGAAGTAAAGGGAAATCTTCCTAATGGTACATAACAGCAAAAAGTATAGTAACAGGTGTTTTAAAGTGACACTTAACCAAGGACTTAAACCTTAAAAATGCATTGAAGTGACCTATTAACAAAAATGTATCTTATTTGTGTATCACTCAGCTTTAGATCCGCAAATCATCTCTGAATTGGTGCTGACACTGTCCTTCCTTCTGGAGGGTGACTACTTTTGTTCCTCATGGTCCCTGTGTGTTGTAAAGTAGTCACCGCTCCAAGCTTGCTCCCATCATAAACTATAACTTCAATACAAATTAGTAAACTAAATAATAGATTGTAGTCCATCATGGGAGTGAGCTTGGAGAGCTAGCTACTTTACACACACACAGGGATCATGGGGAAAAAAAGTAGCCACCCTACAGAAGGAAGGACAGTACAAATGTAGAGATGATTTGAGGATCTACAGTGATGCAAAAATACGATTTTTGTTAATAGTTAAGGTACTTGAATGCATTTTTAAGAAGTGTTTTGACTATACATGCACTTATTTTTTATTTTATTAATTTTGTATGCTAAGATGAACTGAATATCTGAGACACCATCTGCTTTTTCCCTACAGGGAGTTTTTTGGTCAGGGGTGGATGAAAACCGACAAAAATGAGAGAACGCCATATATCATGAGCACAAGCAAACACTTCAACCATGTGAGTCATGTTTGGTGCAGCAAAATCAACATGTTTTGCAGAACTCAGTCCTTGATGGTACTGACAGGTCTGCTTTAGGACTCTTTAGAAATTAATTTGCACCTGCTATAATGTTTTAGATCTTAGTGATTTTGGTAGGATGTATGTTCCCATTCTTTTCTCCCTTTTTTTTGACGGGTGTGTAATTAGGGTATCACATACCTGGTTAGAGGGCCAACATGATGAGAAGGCTTCCTTTCACCTCTAGACTCAACACCACTGGAAAGGTGGACAGGGGATAAGAGGACACAAAGCTGCTCTGGGGGATGTCTTGGCTGTTCTTTAGGTGACGAGGACAGATGTAGGATGTCACTATAGAGCAAAACTACAGAGTAATCACTGCATGTGACAGGATGCAGATTGGGTGTGCAGCTTCTTGAGAAAAAAAAAAGGAGCAGTGTACCAGCTTGGGACGTAGTAGAAGAAAAAGCGGAAATTAGCAATCGAGGAGACAGACAGTAGGCAGGTTAGCAGTCAGAGTCATGGCTAGAAGGCAGGCCGGGAGTTAAGTAAAGTAGAGGCAAATGCTTTTGTTTTGTGTGGGTGTCCTCTCTTTTAGCTTTTCTAGTCTTTCTTCTTTCAATACATTTCTTTCACATCTTTTTTTATGTACAGTATTTCCTTTTTTTGTTTTTTGGGAAAGTCTCTGCTAGAGGCATTACATTTTCACTTCACTAAGCCTCCCATAGGGGTGGCGTCTGGCAAAACCGTTTGAGATGAAGGTCTGAGGAAAAATTAGTATGGGCAACGCTGGTTGCTTATTTCTTGTAGTCTGTCTGTAGACTATGTGATCCCTCAACTGCATTATCCTTTTGTATGCTGCTGATTACTCATGCCTTCTACGGGTACACCCGGATACCTTATACTGTCTGGTCTACTACCATTTCTTTTCTGTTGTATGGTTTTCCTGATGATTTTCCTGACTGCCATTGGTACCTTATGTATGTCTTACAGAATATAAAGAATAAAAAAAAAAAATTAGGTTGGGTCAGCAACAGGTGGGCAGAGAAGAGCAGGTCCAAATGCAACCTGGGTCAACAACACGAGAAAGCAGATCCAAATGCAAGCCGGATCAGCAGTGGATAGGCAGAGTAGAGCAGTTCCAAACGAAAAGCCAGGTCAGCAGCGGGTAGGAAGAGTAGAACAGGTCCAAAGGAAAGCCAGGTCTGCAACAGGTGTGCAGAGTAGAGCAGGTCCAAAGGCAAGCCAGGTCTGCAACAGGTAAGCAGAGTAGAGCAGGTCCAAAGGCAAGCAATGACTGCAAGAGGTGGGCAGAGTAGAACAGATCGAAAGGCAAGCCAATACCGTAGTGGGTAGGCAGAGTAGAGTAGGTCCAAAGCCAAGCAAGTTCTGCAACAGGTGGGCAGAAGAGAACAAATCCAAAGGCAAGCCGGGTCAGTAGTAGCGGGGGGGAGGGGGGAGGAAACAAGATTAGGTTACTCAGGTCAGAAGGTAATAGCTGGAGACCATTCAGCAAATTCCTAATTCAGCTCTGATTCTTAAAAATGCCTTCTGCTGCCAACTCTGGAATTGGGTGAGCGGGTAAACATGCATGCACACGCAAGCGGTTGTTATATTGCATGTAAAAGCATGCACAAGCGCGTATCATCTTGTGATGCCACCCTGACATTGGTTGTACCTAAAAAGTAACAAGCCCGGCTGTCATTCGTCCTTATATTCCAGCAGAGTGCTCATAATGTAATTTGTACAGAAACTAGTGATATTTTTATTATGGATATTCCCTGCTGAGCATCAAAAAGACTTTTTATGGAAATTTTGCTTGATTTTGTTCCTGAATTACCTAAAAATATAAAGTGATGGTTTTATATACCCAATATATAATAAGACCTTAAAGGTTTTTCCATAGGTATGAGAGAGCCCCTGCTGAGATTCCACTCCAGGGTCTGTGGTATTTAGTGGTGATTCTATATCCCACCTATTAGCACAATGTATAGAGAAGGTATCCTTTTAAACAATATTTGACTTGGTGCCTACAAACATATGCACAATGCAACAACTTTATAAAAGCAGGTGCTGTTTATTGATATTTTGGTATTTCTATTTGTCAGATGAGTAACCTGATTGCCACCGAGATCCTGCGGAATGAAGATCCGGCGGTGCGTGCGTGTACAATTGAGAAGTGGATGGCAGTGGCTGATATCTGTCGCTGTCTACACAATTATAATGCTGTTCTGGAGATTACATCATCTCTTAATCGCAGTGCAATATTTCGCCTCAAGAGGACCTGGATTAAAGTGTCCAAACAGGTACTAAGAGGTTTAACACGTGAGAACAAAATGATACCCTCCATTAATGTCTTTACTTTCTCTTTTTAATGCCAGGTTTAGTTTCAGATAATCTCACTGATCACATTCTGACAGATAAAGACACACGAGCAGACATGCCAATCTCTATGGCACTGTACTTTGCTTTGTGTTCATAAACCTCTCCCATATCTGATGTTACAATATATATGTGGACGTAGGAGAAGCACAACTTAATTTTCAGATATAGAAATTACAGCAAAATATTTGACTTAATGTTTCATGGTTAAGAAGGACAACTTATAGAACATTTGTCTTTTGCCATCTATATACCCCTGCCACGCACCCCACTCAAAAGGATCCTGGAGTATGTATTGCTTGGACGCACTGTAAGCACAGCCTGCATTCTGGATGAAAAATATATATGTGTATGGCCAGCTTCACCCAATGCCATCGCCAAACTTTAACTTGATCTGAATGTCAGGTTGTGGGGTCCTGATCATGTGACTGCTGTAATTGACTGTCACATGATCAGGAGCCTGTTCCGCCAGCTTCTGATTGAAGCCGGCGTTGACAGCTTGGTCAGTGCTGGGAGCAGGCAGTGAGCGCGCTCTCAACACTCAACAGCGGAGCCCCATGGGCGCATTTATGCGACAGCCCAGCAGAAAGAGGTTTAGGGAGGAATTTCTTTACTAGTTATTTAATTTACTACTTTCATTGATGTATGCAATCTGATGTAACTCTTTTCTATTTTTTTGCAATATTTACTCTTCCTATTTTATAATATCCAATATCGTGGATAGTGTTTTTTTTTATTTATCTCTGTCCTTGCACATGAGTAAAGACAAGGCCTGATTATTGTCTGCTAATAAGCCATGCTTGCTGTGAAGGACTAAACAACCCAAAACTTGCAGCATCTTGAGATAACAAACACCTGCAAAATACAGTTTTGCATAGATTTCTTCCCTTCACAGTTATCATTATCATATCATTGGTCCATTTTTTTTCATCAATTGGTATATTTAAATTTTAACTCTAGCTATTTGTTTTTTGCCTTGAGTGGGGGTTTACTATGTGGTTTTAATTTCAATCTGTGTCTCTAGGACAGGGAATAATGAAAAATATCTCCAATGGGGACAGACAGCAGTAGTAAGTGGAAGAGTAGAAAATGCCTCTGCCTCTTTTTTGTTGCTGACCAAGCCCCAATTGGGATAATCATCCCTCACTTCTTGCCCTGTTAATAGGTGTCACTAGGACAGGAGGAGAGGGCAAATCTCCCCAGTGGTAAAACACAGCAGCATAACTCTTAACTCTTCCACTTTGCTTCACTTTTTTGTTGCCAGTTTACACTTTCTAATATTTTTCCTGTTTAGTTTTGTAATAACTCTCTACTTCTTCTTAGACAAAGGCCTTAATCGACCGGCTTCAGAAGTTGGTGTCTTCAGAAGGAAGATTTAAAAACCTGAGAGAGGCCTTGAAGAAGTAAGTGTTGAGCATCAAGGGCAATACAACATTTTTCAAATGTAGGTCTTTATATATGGCTGACCTTTTTCTTTTAATGTCTTCTTTGGGTATAGACTCCTTCATGTTCCTACTACCCATGTGGAGATGTGACGTTTTTGTTTTTTCTTATCTCTCCAGCTGTGACCCTCCCTGTGTCCCCTATTTGGGCATGTACCTGACTGACCTGGCATTTATAGAAGAAGGTACCCCCAACTACACAGAGGATGGACTGGTCAACTTTTCGAAGATGAGAATGGTGAGATATACAAACACATAAAAAAGAGACAACAGTATTGTTTTTATAGTAATACAAACTTGATGCAAAATACTTAGCTGAATTGCTGCTGGCACCACATAGTGTAACGCACTGTGATATTTAATCTTTAAGCCCTCATTCACACTAGGAAAGGCCGGCAAGTACAGCTCCGTGGAAAGACAGGTGCTGCGTGTTATTAGTACGCAGCCCCCAGTCCTTCTCTATGGGAGTACGCGACTATACGCCGCTCACCCCAAGTGCAGTTTCGTACGGTTGTGTGTTTCCTGGCTCGGACACAGACAGGATCCATCCTGTCAGCGTATGAGTACGGGCACCTGCACGTGGGGGGCAGGGAACAGGGGGGCATCTTATTTTATGTGTGGGGGTCAGGGAACAGGGGGGGCTTCTTATTTTATGTGTGGGGGGGCAGGGAACAGGGGGGAGAGGGTAATATTTTATGTGGGGGTGCATGGAACAGGGCAGAGAGTGTTAATATTTATTTTTGTAACTTTATTTTGCATAAAACATCTAACAGTGTAATGTATAAGATTATTTAAGAGGGTGTGTTTAGGGGCAAAGTTAAGGCCGGGTCAGGGTAGGGGTTAGGTGGGCAACTGGTGATGACTAACTCCTAAGGCCTGGCTAGTAGCTCAGGACTTGAAATTTTGACCCCTGATAAAGAGTATTAGGTTAAATCATGATCTATAGTATACTACATACATAACATGTAGTTATACTATGGATCATGATTTAACTAATCATGTTAGCAGGGGAATAGGGGATAATTGAAAAACTCTATTGCTGTAGTGTACTCTATATGTAGTACATGTACAGTACTAGCAGATTATAATTGTAAATGTATTGTCTGCACTGTATTAGCAGTATATACTCTATATGTACTACATATAGAGTACACACTGCTAATACAGTGCAGACAATACATTTATAATTATACTCTGCTAGCATGAATGGATTAAATGATCTGTATGCAGCCCTGTACTAGGGATCATTTAATCCATTCATGTTAGCAGAGGATAATTGTAAATCTATTGTTGCAGTGCACTCTATATGTACATGTACTATATACTACATATAGAATGCATTGCAACAATAGATTTACAATTCTCCCCTGCTAACATGAATAGGTTAAATCATGATCCATAGTACATAACATGTAGTTGTACTATGGATCATTTCAGGTCACCTGTCCCTTTAAGAAAAAGTATCGGTAATTGGTATCGGCAAGTACATGAGGGGAAGTACGTGTACTTGTACTTGGGCCTGTAAAAGTGGCAATCGTGACATCCCTTCACGTTAGCATAAGAAATGAGCAATAAGATACACAGCAGGTCCCAGAACAGACCAACTAGCTAATGCGTTTTGGAGGAGATTCCCCCTTCAGAGCTAGCTGAATATGTAGACGTTGACCATAAAATATGGGGGTGAAGCAAATACAGCATATTCTATTAGGTTCCCCAGAAATCCACAAGCTGCAAAATTGAGGCACTGACCATAACCTAACGCTATTGTTTGGTTTACCCTTTTTAGATTTCACATATAATTCGAGAGATTAGGCAGTTTCAACAGACTGCCTACAAGATAGAGCACCAGCCTAAGGTAAGACATCACTTGGTTTGCTTTCAGCACTAATAAGTAACACTTATATGAAATTCAGCATGATTAAATGCTTTTCATAGTAGGCACATTTGTGCTGAAAAATTAATAATGAGATATAAATAAATATATTAATAATGCAGAAAAGATTTAAGATGAAAACACCATCACAGTTGGGACAGACACCCTTTGCTGTTACACAGTTATAGTTTGTATAACCAGGATCATTGCTATTATTCAAATAATTTTTTCTTTCACATGTATTCATTGAGGTTTTTGTACATGAAAACAAACAAGGTGGCCCATAGGGTTATAGCATTAGACAACGGTACAAAAAAACCCCTAGTATAATAGATTTATAATAGATATAATAGAATCTAGTAAACAATGGGGGACTTTGTATCCTAAATATGTTTCAGCTGAAGGGGAGGCTAGATTTTAAACGTATAACAGTGAATTTAGTCTCAAAACCAGGGGTGGTTGTAAAGTACATAGAAGCCAACAAAATGGGAAAGGGGGTGGTGGAATCAAACGACAATTAGCTTACATAGTGGGGTCACCATGCTCAGCCCGTCATATGAATTTTTTTTTAAACTTATCAGCATATTCTGCAGTGCCAAACAAGAAGTGATGGCATACAGGTGTATGTATGATCCAATATCTAATTCAAAACAAATGTGTAAAAAGATCTAAGAGGGCAATATAATAGATGGAACAATTTTAAGTAATGGTGAACCAATACGATAGGCCATATTTTTATAACCAGTTGCCATAAACACTGTTTGTATCACTGCATAGTATAGTTCACCAATTAAGAAATGGCTGAGTGTTATTTGAGGTACATGGAGTCCTATGATCGTTTACCCCCTGCTACTCTGGGATGTAAACAAACAATGAAGGCTGTGGGTATGGTTACATGGGAGATTAATTTGGATAGAGGGAAAAAGAGCTTGGTTAGAACAATGGAGGGGTGGGGGCCAGAAGAACAATGGCACTGTTTGAAAGAGCACCTATACTTCAGCAGCAAAGATCTCAGCGCCTGCCTTCCTGAAACGCCAACCTGCATTGGTTATTATGAAGGAAGTCTCATAACCCATTTTGGGTTTTTGCTTTACTTGATGGAGAAATGCAGTAGGAGAGAGGAGAGCATCTACCATAAAAAAAATACCCAAAAAGAAGACTGTAGATGATACAGGTTAAGAGCATCCACCTATACTGAAATTTCAGTTTTGGATAACTAATCAAATAGTTGGAGGTTCAGTAGACTGGATTTGGTTATGTTCTCATTGTCTTATGTCAACACATATAAATGGTTATTGTCTCTTACAGGTCACACAGTATCTCTTGGACTCCTCAGGAGTGCTGGATGAAGAGGGTCTTTATGAAGCTTCTCTCCGCTTGGAACCCAAACTTCCTACCTGAATTTTTGTTGCACTCGCCCTGCCTGTATCATATTGTACAGACCCCCCAAGCCTCTGGCCGGACCCCATTATGCAGGGGTCCCCATATAGGGGCAGAGATGTCTGTGTCTCCATTCATCCCAAACACCCAACTGCTCCTAAGGGAGGCCCTACACTGTCCCTACACCCAGTTTTCCCCAAAGACACCCCTAGAAAGAGTGACCAGGGTGGAGACTGAGATACCTCTCAATATGAGCACTGTCTTACTTCATCATAGGCTTTGCTGGCACGAACTGAACCATCGCTGCTACTTCCTTTTGACTTCACATCTAAAGAGATTAAAGCAGTGTTTGTGCGCAGCAGCTTACCAACAAAGCAGCATTCACCCCCTCTACCACCATGCTTGAATGAAGGGGTTTATGGTTCTGTGTTTCTTTCACAGAGAGGTATTAAAAGAAAACTAGAGAACAGAAGGGGCTGATGCACAACACTCCCAAATTTTGTCATAAAGAGCAGATGAGAGGGCACATGCAAAACATAAGTGTGATGGGAAGCACTTCAGAAAATAACCTATCCCAAAAAATGGTCAGTCTCTCTTGCCTTAGACTGGCATTGCACATGTCTAGCAGATTGCTATAAGTTTGCAAGTTCTGGACTCTACTCCAGCTTTGTCTTGTTGGCTTTGTCCAGCGGCCTGATCTAACAGGCTGTTACAATAGCTGCTATAACAGGCAACATTTCCAGTGCTTTATTGGAGAGGTGTCATAGACTGACAGAAGTAGGATTACGGGTATGGTGGCACGCAAGGAAATGCAGCAATGGGCACATGTATGATGTTGGTATTGTAGCTGGTGTGAGGAAAAATTAAATGGACTGGTCACAAGAATGTGTTATATGGGAGTCCAATGGTGGGTTTTGAGAAAAATTTGCAGCTACATTTTGGTTTCTTTATTTTTTGTACTATAAAGTGTTTCCTGATTACCTCTCGCTAATAAATCTTTTATCTCAGGGTTACCACCAACACAGCCTGTTGACATGTCTGTCAAGCAAACAATGACAAAGAAACATGTTAAGGAACACAAAACAGACAGCACTGTTGGGGGACTATTGCTTTTGAAATACCTGACACCTATTTCTTACTGATACAGAGTTTTGGGGACACGTGCAGTGGCACTGGGTGCTTAGAGCTGTACAGAGAACCTAAAACATCCACTCAGTGGCAGAAAGTTGTAGTAACTAAGTTACATGAATTAACTTGGTTTCTTTTTCGGAACACAGAGCATTGTTTTTGGATGCTACCTTTTTGGCAACTACAAACATCCCAGGTGGAAACCTGCGAAGGCTCCACTGTTCTGGAATAAAAACCAATCAGCTTCTATCTGGTGTGAGAACTAGCTTCAATTGGTATGACACAGCCACTCGCAGGTCATCTTTTTAGGCTTTTCATACCCACTCCTAAAATTAAGTTCAGGTCACACAAAAGGTTACATTTGCAGGGTTTGTTCAGCCTCTCTCTGCCACAAATCAAAATTATTTTGTTCAGCCTCCTGGCTTTCACTTACAATGTCACTGCTATGGCTTCACACTTCAGACCCTTGTCTGTTTCTCCTCCTGGTTGGAGCCCTGGACACTAGCCAACTTCTGTACCGTAAGGGCTGTGCACAGCTACAGTACAATCACTGGGTGCTGGTCAACATAAAAACATGGACCCAGGGTTGGAGGTTTAATCCCACCCAAGTCTCTACAAAGCCTCCAGATTCCAGGACCCTGACCAGGGTTTACCAATGCTGGAGAAATCTGAAAAGCCAGTTTTCTCCATATGAAATACTCATCCTGAAGCCCCTCAACTTGTATGGGTGAGAACCCTGGGTGACCTCTTATTCCTTAAGGCACAGCACTGTCACACAGGTCATATTTCCACTTTTTTTTTTATTCTGACCTCTTTCTGACTTTCTTATCTTGCCATGTGTATGTTGGCCATAAACAGACGTTTCTATTAATGTGCTCCATCCAGTTAAAGAAGAAAAGCTGGCAGTTTCAGATGCCCAAGAGTGCGAATAAAGCATTCTGTGGTCCAGCATATAGAATTACCCAGCTGCATATAGTCTGTATCATTTTTTACTACTACTGTTCTTGGCAGAGGAGGAATACAGGTGCCTTTGCAGTTAGGCAGATAAAAAAACATATTGTACTTCAGAAATGCTGATCTGCTGGCAAACCTTCCACACTGCTTCTTCAGTGATTTCCCATTCCCTGATCTGTTTTAACATCTGCACACCAGATAACCCTTCCAGCTGTGGACATGACAAAACTAATTCAGGAAGGAATTCAGGACTGAATTAAAGGAGAACTATGGGGTTAAGGCTTTTCCCCATAGTTCTCCTTAGGGTAACGGGAGGACACAAACTAGCTACAGCTCGCGGTATACTGAGACGCCACAGCTCGCGGTATACTGAGACGCCACAGCTCGCGGTATACTGAGATGCCGCAGCTGAAGCGGATCCCGACAATTATGTCGGGATCCGCCCAGCTGCATGAGTGACAGCTGGCTCTGCCTATCTAGAGGCAGAGCTAGCTGTACCCTCCCCCGTCCGATCCGCCAGTCAGCACTGGAGGATCAGAGCGGGGAATCCAGCCCCTCCCCTGTCACGGCAGAGAGCTGTGACAGGATCGAGAAGTGAGGGAACGCCGGTATGTGTTCGCTCACCTCCCGATCCACTGAGCCGACCTGTGACAGTCTGATTGTCACAGGTTGGCTAGAACTATGAGGTGAGTGAAAAGCACTCACCTCATAGTTCTCCTTTAATATAACAGTATTTTAAATTCATTACATTGGATCATTTACTCTAGCCTGTGAAATAGAGCATTGAAAGTCGCTGGTGAAAACCTATTACCCGGTTCAGCTTTGCAAGTTTGCATCATCTCTTCACCTACATCATGCTTAATGGACAATCACATAATCATCATTGTGTGGATCAGTGAAGCAACTCAAGAAGAAATGCATGTAAATCCAGGACACTTCAAAACTGCTAAATATTCTCCTGTACATGAAACTGGTCAGGATGACTGTAGTCTGATTCAGGCTTTTTCCAAACCTAAAGCCCTACTCTGGGCAACAGTATATTATGCTTTTGTTTTTTTTACTTGCTAGTTATGCGGTGCGCAGGGCCCTTTTCCCCTTCTTCTCCTGGCGGTGAGCAGTCCTCGATGATACTGAGAGTGGTGCTGACCTAAGGATGCCAGCACTGCTCTCTGCATTAATACACCATGAGTGCAGAGTGCCATACTGATTCTGCCTCAGTCCATAACGCCCTGCACTCATACTATGTCCTCAGTCTTTTGGGGTTAATTTAACGCTGCCCATTATTCAGCCCAGAAGACTGACAATGCTTTGTGGCAGAGAGGTACTGCAGGGAACAGCTCAGATTACAGCTTAGTACCAGGGTTGCAACTACAAATCATGGGGAACTCTCAGTTATCTCTCTTTGTAATAGTTGGCAGTCCCAATTGTGATAAAACACGTAATTGATCCTAATATAAAGTATGTCTAAACCATACAAGGCAACAGGAGAGCTGTCAGCATAGACAGACTACAAAGAACTAGTGTGTTCGGATGTTATGCTGGGAGTAGCAATAATAATTGTTATCTTTATTATGACAAAATTATTAATGCTCTTGCACACAATGGGGTTGATTTACCGAAGGCAAATAGGCTGCTCACTTTGCAAGGAAACAAATAAAAAACACATTATTTTTACATAGGTTGAACTAGATGGACCTGTGTCTTTTTTCAACTTTACCTACAATGTTATTACGTTACTTGCACATGATTGGGTGATGGCAGTCAGCAGAGCTTCACCTCATTCACTAAGCTAAGAGCAACTTCTTTTGTAAAGTGAACAGCCTATTTGCCTTCAGTACATAAACCCCAATTACTCTATAACTCTAGTACAACTTTTTTGTAGAACTACATATTTTAGCTATCCCTTTAAGGTTTTAGCAGAGAAGACACTCTTGAATTTTTTGACTGCATTAGGCATACAGGGTTAACTTCACTCTGTAGCAATAGTTCAGAGAGCAGTAAATCTACACTGCTCAGACACATAAGCAAATGCTTCTTACTGCACAGAGGGGGATCTGTGACTGGCAACGACCCTCAGGTCTCAGTTCAGCCCCTCTATCCTGGACAATTGACAGTTTAATGTTCCTTAACATCCACCATAATGGGGACCCCCACCTATCCCAGGCCCCATAGCAGCAGTGTGTGCTGCTATGGCTATAGTTATGCTACTGGTTAGTGCTGTAGCCAGAGCTGCCCAAGGGGACTAAAACTTTTTTTTAGTAAAAGTTTACATTGATGTCTAACCAGTGGTACTCGAATGTCTTTGAGTAAACCACATTTCTTCCCATTAGCTGGCTAAAATGACAGCATTGGTTATATTAGTGCGCTAAAACTGAGCCTGGCCTTCTCTAACAGTGGTTGAGGTACCAGTAGCCTTGAAAACTTGCATACAAGTACCTGCGTTCAGATGGATTCCTGGGGCATTAGGCCCCAACCTTATACTTCAACTTTCAAATGCCAGAAAGTCTATAGAAAGCTGAGGCTCTGACATTTGACCGATGAATAGCAGGGGCAGACCAGGAGAGAAGACAGGTTAATCTCGACTTGCAGTAAAGATGAGGTACAATGCGCAGCTTGGGTCTACAATCCAAAGGGCAAAAATCTTCCACTGGGCCAAGCTTCAGTATCTTGCTATTTGGCCCTGCTGGCTCTCAAAACACCTGAACAATGTCTGCATCCAATCAGAAGAATTGAAGTGTTTGGAGAAGGCAGGAAAAGTGAACAATCTAGGACAACATAGCTGAACTGGAAAGTGAGCTGAATTGGCGCATTTTTCCAAATCAGCTATGTTGTCCTAGATTGTTCACTTCTCCTGCCTTCCCCAAACTTTTCACCCTTTAGTGAATAACCCTGTAAGACTTATTGAAAGAAATAGACTTATACTTGGGAATGCCTTTCACTGGTATCAAAAACTCCTCTATGGGTCAGATCTGGGCCTAAGACTAGAATACCTAATTTCATGAATCAGAAGACATGACTACTATTTAAAACAAAACTGAAAAGTGGAGATTTGTTTTATTATAGGCAACATCTAGCATTTTTTTTTCCAAATTAAGTTTTACTGGTTTTAACAAAGTAACATACAATAAACTTGTCAACTTCCAGAAGAGAAATTTAGACTTTTAAAAAAACCAATGGATAGACTCAAAAAGACCAATGGATAAACATAAGTAGGCGATATGATGTGAAACAAGGTAAGTACACCGTTTATGACTATTACAGCTAGCAAATACAATTATGATCTCGAGAGCCCACACTTAGGTCTTCCGGCTGGTAAAGTCAGAATTAACCGCACAAAAAGAAAGAAAACAAACTACAAAAACATTACAAAACGATGAGAGGAGAAAGGGATCAAAGAGAAGAGAAAGGACGCAATGAAAACCCCTATGAAAACCAAAAATGTAAAAAATAAGGGGAAGGAAAAAAGGAACATACAACCCCATAACGGTAAATGCTGAAACAAAAAACGAAAACAAGGGGCAGAAACCACCCAAAGAGCAACGTATAACCAGGTAACTTCCTAGTTAGTAACAACAAGGTCTGAAATTCAGCAGAATCCTTGAAAAGGATCCAGATAGCCCAGCTGTGGTGGGATTTCTTTACCCTGTCATTATCAATAGCCACCAAACATTGGCAATCTTAGATTGGACAAACAATGTGGAAAGTAAAAAAAATGACATGTGCGATGCAGTCTGTCAATGGCATTAACTCATCAACAACTCTATAAATCGGCTGTCATGAACATTATGGTTTTTCTGCAAACTATCTTTCCTACAGAGTAGCTTTCAATATGTGTGGTTCAAGACACATATTAACTCTTTGGGGATTGAGCTATTATGGGATGTGAATGAGCAATATA